CTTTCCAACTGGACTACGTGGTCTGATTTCATAAAACAAAAAGACTCAAAGTGAACAGAAAGTGAAGTAAACAGACCATAATGTAATGAGGTAAATACTGGGCTGCAGCAGCAGTCTTACCATGGGCAACAAAGCTTCGTGCAAGCGAATTAGTGCACGTGATACCAAAGCTAGCTTGCTTAGAACTACTGCTAGTGTCTTTGCATGTGCCAGTCTCCAGTGATACGCCCTAGGTACTCAAGTTCTTGCTCTATCTTTCATTGATCTATTCTGCCAACCCCACTCCAGGCAAAGTTTTACGGGGGGGGGATGCTAAAGCATCCTTCTCTTTCCTCTGTCCAGGAGTGTGTGCTGTGATCCAATGCAAGACAATCTTCCGACTCCATCATTTTAAACCAGGAGCAGCAATCAGGTGTCACTGTAATGCATAACTCACATCTACATGCATTCATTCTGCCTAAATTCCTATGGAAAAGGGACTACAGACTTCCAATTACCTTTTTGTAAAGTTTTCAGTTATGGTACGTATCTGAAGAGTTATAATGGCTGTTAGTGCTTGGCAAGAATAGCCAACTAGTCAGAAAGACACATATTCATTTCATCAATACAAAATTCAGACAGTATTTCAGTGCCACATAACCCAATTCCAAGACAAGTTCAAGTACTTGTCCTCTTACAAAACAGAGATTATGAATACTATGCTTGTCTACTATTCATGATTTTAGTTAGTAGGGGGAACGTTTAACTTTTTCCTGCAAATAAGAATAAGAATCACGCAATATTTCTTGATGATTTTTTTTCTTCCTTTGGTAAGACTGGTATTTCACAAGTAGCTGCTTCTCCCCTCATTCTTTACTTACGTGCCTACATATTTCAAACGATCTTCAAATCCCATCCTTTCTACGACTCAGCAGCAAAAATTCTCAAAGTAGCATGAAGTGCAAGTGACAGCACTGCAATGCAGTTTAACCTCCTCGGAGTAAAATTGGCAACAGCTTTGAGGGTATCAGATTCTTTTGCAACTTCCTAAATCCTCCCTAACTCTCAAGGTTTTTTCCCCTTTTTGAAAGAAGAATAAGGTTGGCTCCCTCTAAGACTGTTAGGAACTCATTTTTATTGCCTTAAAATGCTGCAGAATTTATAAGCTGCTTTTTCACTAGTTGAGCCACACATGCATGTTGCACCGATAAAGTTTTAAATTTATTATGTAGACAATTTAAAATAATTTCAAGAATTCATAAGCATAGATTATGTCAGTCTATTATTACATAAAGTAATGCGATATGTACAAATACTATAAAACAACTCTTAGGAGGACTTAGTATTTTATGTTATATGCTCACCTTGCATGGAAAAAAATAATAATCATTCTATTTTCAAGTATCTAGCATATGTAATAAAATACTTCTAAAAACCTAGACCACTAATAGAAAAAAGATCAATTCTAAATCATAGGAGTTTCAACATTTTTTTTCTACATTTGTTAATTCTGACTGATTTCATAAAATCACCAATGCTACTGAATGCCTCAGAAAAATGACAATTCAGGCTCTGTTAGACATAGACCACTGGAGATGCTACAGCAACGGCTACGTTAATGCTCATGACAACTTTGAAGTTAGCACTGCTTTGTGCTGGAACTGAACCGGATGACATCCAGAGGTCCCTTCTGACCTGAACTCTTCTATGATTCTACGGTTTCTCCTTCATAAAGAACCGTTCTAGAAGAAGGTGGGGAGAGCCAACAGGAAGGCAATGTTATCAGCTCCTATTAAAGGTGACATACTTGGAGAAATTGCACTTTAGGACTTAACTGATCTAAGAGCTTACCAGAGAGTGGGAGGAGGTCCTGCTCTCTCACTCTCTAGCCATTCTCAGCTGCATGTTGTGGCTCTGCCACAACTCTTGCACCAGCTCTGGTGTTAACAGGTTCTTCACCGAGCAACTCAGCTCACTAACCAGGCTGCTAAAGCGAACAGTCTTCTGCTCAGTAAATTAAACTGACTAAATATATGGTTGCTAGAAGCCCAGCATATAGCAGAGATTGAGAGGAGTGATTGCAGCACCTCATTTCAGCAGCAATAAACCATTAGACTGATGTCAGCAACTTAACAGTGAACTTTGGGGGAAAAACCCTTTGACATATGCATTTGAACAATTCATGTAAAGATTATTCAGAAATCACAAAATTCACCACTGCAAAGAGAATACACCCAAAAGAATAATAATTTAAAAAAAAAAAGATTCTTAGGAAAGCAAAAGATCCTAATCAAAATCTAAACAAATTATGAGGGGTTAGACTTCTGAGAGATTAAATTGCACGTGGTTTATTAGTTGTCGGAAAAGTATATCTGTTCAATATCTTTATCAATGATCCGGATGAGGGGATCGAGTGCACCCTCAGTAAGTTTGCAGACGACACCAAGTTGGGCAGGAGTGTTGATCTGCTCGAGGGTAGGAAGGCTCTGCAGAGGGACCTGGACAGGCTGGATCGATGGGCCGAGGCCAACTGTATGAGATTCAACAAGGCCAAGTGCCGGGTCCTGCACTTCGGCCACAACAACCCCATGCAACGCTACAGGCTTGGGGAAGAGTGGCTGGAAAGCTGCCTGTTGGAAAAGGACCTGGGGGTGCTGGTCGACAGCCGGCTGAACATGAGCCGGCAGTGTGCCCAGGCGGCCAAGAAGGCCAATGGCATCCTGGCCTGTATCAAAAATAGTGTGGCCAGCAGGAGTAGGGAAGTGATCGTGCCCCTGTACTCGGCACTGGTGAGGCCGCACCTCGAATACTGTGTTCAGTTTTGGGCCCCTCACTACAAGAAGGACGTTGAGGTGCTGGAACGTGTCCAGAGAAGGGCAACGAGGCTGGTGAGGGGTCTGGAGAACAAATCTTATGAGGAGCGGCTGAGGGAGCTGGGGTTGTTTAG